ACATATATATCCACATATATGCTCCTTTATATGTGCCTATATGAAAAAACTAAAATTCCCAATCAGATAGAAATATCCAAAAACAACCAATGCAAGCAATCAATGGGAAACAAAAACAAACAAACAAAAATAAACACGACCCCAGAACATCTAATACCAATATAACCTATCAAAAGAAGCCCCAACTAAAAAAAATCAAAATTAAAAAACAAAAGCCAAAATAAAACCGCAAAATCAAAACAGGTCTAAAAACCAGAAAGGGGAAAAAAACAAACAAACAAACAAAAAAACCACCCACTTGCTCTGTGTCTTGTGGGGGCAGAGGTAACCGCCTTACTATAGGACTATTTAAGGTGAGTGGAGTTTTTGTTTTGTTTTTACAGTCCGTGTTATGTTTGCTCCTGTCTGTCCAGAGTCACTCAGGTTCCTGCACGGAGGCCTGGATGTGCAGGTGCTTTTTCCACTGGGACTGTTGGAGGGTGGGGGGTGGGGTTTTCAGAGCTGCTAGAAGGCCTTCCTGTGCCGCCTGCAGCCTTTACTCATGTAAATTACTCAACCCCGTAGAGTTGAAGCACCTTTGTTTAGGCTTCTTTCTCTCTTCAGAGATCGGTTTCCAGCTCTGGTCGGGAGGGGGACAAGGACTCCAAGGGAGGGTGGGCGTGTGCACTCCTCTATGCAGTTTATCTTCCCTATCTGGGACAAAAAGAAAGAGAAAAAGAGAACACAAAATCCCCCAAAACAAAAAACAAAAAAACAAAACAAATGTCCCTTCCAACCAGGCGCCTCCTGGTTAAGCTGCTTTTCTCTCCACCACCAAAGCGGGCTGGCTGTGTCTCCACGCTTCTCGCCTCCCTCTTCTCCTCCTGGGCTGGGACCTTCGCCCCAGCCTCTGCCCCCTGTGAGTCCTGACGAACACCAGGCGGGATGGTCAGCACCAAAGGCTGAGCTCGTCCAGATGCCGAAAATACCGTCTGCCTTGTCCTGGATACCCGCAGCCGCAGGAGCACACAGACTATGCCCGCGGTCTGTTGCC